TTCAGGTTGTCGAACGCGGAGGTTTTGTCGGATTTGGACACGTCGAGTATGAACGGTAAGCTCGAATACCTGGAAAAGTATTCGGTAGCACCTTCGCCAAGCAGAGATTATTACGGATTGAGAGTGGTCGACGACCAGGTGCTGACGAATAAGTCGCGTTCCCGCGATTCTGCCTCGTAACTTCGCACATTTTGCAGGTAACACTTTATCATTGGCGAATCTCGCACGGTCCTCACAAAACACCCATCGTACGAACCTCCAGTTTCGTTGACTTCAAGCAAGATCATCCGCTGCAAGACGAAATTCAACGTATTTTTGGTATACAGCAATCTTAAGCAATCTTAATTGATGGGAATGAATAACCTTGCTCGGGGAATTTTTCTCTCGATATTAATTTCATATATGTGCACATTCTATTTGAATACACATTTCTTGGATATATAACAGCTGTCAAATGAATAATTTATTTGGTAGTATTTTACTTTTTGCAAATTCTATGTTAGTTTCTTTTTTAATTTAATAATTTCGTTTATTGCATATATTTATTGAATTAGAAATGTGAAATTTGATTATTTGTACGACTTGTTTGATGCGAAGGAAAATATTTTCTTTCTCGGTCATTAAGATTTATACAAAAGTATTTCTATTTGAAAATTATTTAACAATAATTATTATAATCGTAATTATGAAAATCTCGAACTTTGGCTATCTTGGATTAAAATTTTTCTAACTATTTTACAACTCTTGTTAAAATAATAATTTCACTATAGAAATTACTATTCAATTTTCCATATTTTTTCAGACTTATGGATCATTACAATTTTTTTTTTTTAGGTGAATATTTGCTGAAACACGTAAGAAACATCACTTCCGGGAAAAATACATTACTAACATTACCAAAGTGTCTAATTAACAAATTAATCAAATATCTCACTGTACAGGACGTTGTTATATTAAGATCTCTATCACGCATCTCTAAAGAGGTAACCAATTAATCTGTAAATAAACTAATATCCACCCTTATCCTTTCTAACTTTTCCTTTTCAAATTTTTAGATTTTCGATGACGATTACGTGTGGGAGACGCTGTACAAAAAATACAGTCCAATAACGAGGAACAAGTACGACGAATTACACATCACGTATAATTGGAAACAATTATTCCAGTTGGCAAAAATTCAAGAATTAACTTGCCATCAAAAGGTAATCTTTTCACTGTCACTGATATTGACATTGGAACTTAGATCGAAGGTTAAAGTATAAGAATTTTGTCGGAAAAAAAGAAAAATAGGAAATAAATAAATAAACAAAAATAGTTAAGCAGAAAATTTTATTCCTATATTTCCAAAAAATCATTCAAATCTATAAAAAACACTATTGCAAATCTGCACAACTACTCTAAATATAAAAAAATTTGTCATTTTGACCAGCTTGATAATTTCAGTTAAAAACGATTTATCTTTGATTTATCACTGACACAATCACTTTTTTTTTCTCCAGATGTTTCGAACTCGTGGAAATCCAAAACAGAAGTCAACGAATCCGAAAATCGACAATTTAACGAAAGGAAACATAAAGCTAGAGAATTTGACAAAGGCGATCCCAAAGATCGAGAATTCCATGAAACTCTCCGGCTCGAGTACAAAAATAGCATCAAAAATCGTTCCATCAGAAAATCAGTCTACAAAAAAACCGACAGAAGTCCCTCGTAAAAAGAACACTCAGAATTCTGTTACGAGAAAATTGTCCAATAATCGTCTCAACGAAACGACGATCGACAAAGAGAAGATCATTTCAGAGAAGAAAACATCCACTATTAAATCATTGCAAATAGCAGGGCAGAGGAATATAAAAGCAATAAAAGACCACACGGTCGCTAACAAAGTTACCGAAACAAAATCAAACAAACTTCAGAATAAACACAAAAAGATCGACACTAAGGCCAGTAACGTAAGCCTAAAAACTGCAGAAGATAAATCGAGTAACATGAAGTCGAAAAGCTCAGTAACTTCAAAGGTAAATAAAGCTGAGAAACCAACGCGTTCGATTCAGGGTGATCAAGGCAAACCAAAATCAAAAGGCAAGACGAAGAAAATCGGTCACAGCAAATCGACGATCTTGAGCACGAGTACCGATCTTCTGAACGATCATTCGCCAATTAAGGACGACAGCTTCGATCTGGTGGATTTAATCCAGGCTAGCTTGAAAAACATTCGTAGCCCGAGAAGTATATTCGACTATAGCTTCAGTTGCATCGAGAAGACGAAGTCTTGCGCCGGTGACACGACCGTGTCGCAAGAGATCAGTCGCAAGATGGCCGATCATCCGAGAGCTTCGAACGCGACTCTTGATCGATTGTCCGAAAAATCGGAGCCACTCACCGCGAAATCGATAGATTCCGGTAACAAGAGCGAACTATCCCACGGATCTCTCACGCCGAAGTATTTGAAGTTGTTGAACAGTGAACTGAAGAAATCGGCAGAGTTGAACAAGAATCGTAACGTCGCGATACCAGAGGAGAAAACCGATCACGTTGAAAGATACGGAGTCTATAATAAATATCCAACACCGAGGATATTGGACAAGGAACTGAAGAAGTCGACTGCTCAAAAGGAGATTGATAAGATGAGTATGTTGCGTGCATTGGGAACGAGGGATTTCGGTAAAAATGTTCCATCTAATTCAATGGATGAGATAAATCGGTATGAATTGAAGAAGGCTGTCAATAACGTGTATAAGTATTGACACGTGCTCGTTCAAATTATGTTACTGTGGAGAATATTCCTTTTTAAATTGTAAAGACTGCAGCTGTATATGTTTGACAAAATAAATATTAGTGATCGCTATGCATGCGAAGGAAACATTATATTATACATGCGATACAGTATATGTTGAGTATGTGATTTTAAGCTGAAGAAAATTTTTTAAGGTTTCTGTTGTGCTCGGTAATGCTCAGCTCTAAATCTGTTATTATGAATGTAAGTATATTTGGCTTTTTTATTAATATAGATAATTAAAGTGAATTAATTAATTCCGATACAAATTTTATTTAAAATTGTCACCAATTTCATTCACATTAATTTAAAATTATGTAACGTAATAGTATTTCTTGGTATATTAATTAATTATTAATTAGTGTTGAATTTTCTGAATTATTTAAATTTTTAAGTATAGATGGTTTTCGATGGTTTAAAAAAAAAAATTTCAATGTTGAAGAAATTTATTAATTATTATCTTTTCGCACATTAACAGTTTCGCTGGAAATGCGGACAGATATACAAAATAATCATCGAACGATGCGCATGTATTTAATGATATGTCTTTTAAATACAAACACATTTACATGAGATATCATTGAACAGAATGTATTAGCAGGTTTATAGGTCCTACGTATAAAGGTCTACAAAAGAAATTACAAGATAGCATTAATAAAGTAATTACCAATTTATGATTAATTTCAACGCGAGAAACTTGTTTCATTGATAGCGTTACTACACTAGAATAGAATCAGTGAACTTTAATTCAGTGCTATAAATTTTTACCAAACATTCTAGAAGTGTCGTCTATGGATAATGCGCGAGCTATGATCCGAATCTTCTTGCACAATAATTTAACTAACAATATTGGTGAATTCACAGGTAAGTGGAAAAGAATGGCTGATGAAATTTCATTTAGCAGTAAGCAGATGTACGAGAGAATTTATTATATACTAAAAAAAAATCGTAACTCATGAGTTGCAGATTTTTTACAATCGTATAAGTTCAATCGACAATAATATTACACAATTTTCCAACAACTAATAATATTGATAAGTTGACAAATTACAAGTCAAAGATCATAAATTGTTGTCAGCTTTTCTCTAGTCGTATTAGT